GCTGAACACTGGAATTTGACACAACACTGTAAAATGATTATGAATCAATAAAAAATGTAAAAAAAAAAAATACACTACAAAAAACTGATTTGAAGGACTGGTCACACAACAGTGTGAATGTACTAAATGCCACTGATTATATACTTTAAAAATGGTTAATTTTATATTATGTGAATTTCATATCAACATTAATTTTATATCATAATTTTGTACTACTAATTAAGTTTATATAAATCAAATAAAATTTTATATGATTTGAAGTAAAATAGAGGCCAATCCATAAGCATTTAGTTCCTCTAATTTTAAGTGAAAAAAATTTAATTGAATGTCATAGTATTATTTACTCTGAGATGTATAAAAATCTTCCTGTTTGCCACTAACTCTTGATATATTTATAAATCACAAAAAACTATTCTATTTGACATTCAGAATCAAATATCAGTTAGAAGCTTGACTGATTTAGTCTTCATTTTTTAAAAATCCAATAGGTGTCCATGAAGATAGATTTTAATGGAGCAAAGAGGAAAGACACTGCTATCTTCAAATCCCATTTTACCAACTAGGTGAATGAAACAAGGACTGTAGCTTCCCACAAGTCTCTGTCCAGCAATTTTACTTTAGTTTAATATCTACTTTAAACATAATCAGTTTATAAAACAGAAACAAACAACAATGAAAAAGCTAGCCACAAAAATCTGAGACATTTCTTTTAAGAGAAAAATGAACAGGCATAAAATATCAAGTCATATGGTCACAAGTGAAAATGTTAAACGAGCAGAAAGATTTTCCAGAAGACAAAGAACAATGTAGAAGACAAGGCAAAGAAGGGTTCTAGGAGCCAGATCTATGTATCAATAATGCAAAATATGAAAACACTAAGGTCTTTATACATGATTAAGAACCATGCAAGCTTCATCCTTCTCTTAATATTTTAGAAAATAAGTCAAAATCCATTTTCCATGCAAATTAAAGCAGTGGTATTTGTTAAGCATCAAACTTCATAAAGAAGATTGCTCACTATTCTGTCTTCATCTTCTAGACTCACTTCTTATGAGCAACATTGTTCCACACAACCAAGTTATGATTCTCCACTTAAAACATCAAATTCCAATAAAGAACTAAATGAGGGTTAGGAATATTACCCCTCAATACCTCATGATGATGTGAAAGATAACATACTAATTAAAAGTGGAAGAAAAAGCAAAAATAAACAGTATGTCAATTAATTAATTTTTAAGTATGTTAATTACTATCATGTATATTTTCTACTTGTATAATTTTATTTTAAACCTTATAAATTATGTCTATATAAGCTCATGTTGCCAAAGAATTTTTGTTACAAAATTATTCAAGTGGTTTTTCTTACACATAGATTTTTCTTCTGAAGAGACACCACAAATGACTATCATGTTAAAATATTATATGTGCTTCATATATAATTAGCCATATTTAGTTTTCTAATATAATACATTGATATATCTATTAAATCTGAAGAACTATAAATATTTAATAGACTAACTCATAGCACAAAAACATATAGACATATAAATATGCTTTTTGTCCTTACAACTTAAAATAAAATTTTCCCCTACTGTATTTTCATTCAGTTTACATATTCTGTAAGTAGTCAATACAACCAAATCAGTTAATAAAAATCAAAATATCATTTGTCACTGCATGTATTCAACTGCTGACAATAATATCAGTAATGTAAGCTGCATATGAAGCTCGTAGAGTCACCCAGTCCCCTGACCTAAGTCATTCCAAACGTGATTTTGGGGGAGGAGGAAAAGGAAAAGATCTGCACAAATATAAAATCAGTCTCTCTACGTATCAGATAAAAATCAAGGTAGAAAGAGCGTGTGTGTGTGTGTGTGTGTGTGTGTGTGTGTGTGTGTCTGTGTATGTGTGTCTATGTGCAACTTCTTCTGTTTGTGAGGAGGGTGTTTACAGTACTGGAATAATCACAGAATTCATTTCATACCTGTGCTCCATAGATATATTTATCCAACATCTTTCCTCCTATTGTCTGTCCTCCTATGTCCCAGACTTGAAGGGTAACATTCAAGCTTCCTAGAGTATAAAAAAAAGAATATAAAAATAAGAATACACAAAAAGTTAAGGAACATACAACAATCAAATACAGTTTCACAGAACATTAAGTCACAATAATACACTCTGAACCTAATTTTCCTTTTATTGTGCACATTCACATGGTCAACTATTTGGAATTGTGAGATACTGTTGTCAAAAGAGACCATAGTGGGGAATTTAGTTTACACTTTACCCCATTTCCATGAGACTACATTTATAATCACCTTCAAAACAAAAGAAAATAAAGAAAGCTTTAATTCACAAACTTCTTAAATGTTAAAAAACATTTTTCCTAAACAGAGAATAGAACAATAAAGTTCTTGTATGTGGAGTAAGAAGCAATTTAAAACTAAAAAGTGAACTTTATATACTAACCTACCTTTTTGCACATAATGAATTTTGGCTCTAAGGTCTAAACTCAATAGGTTCTAAAACTCATAGGTTAATAACAGACTACAAAGATGGTCCCATAGTTTCAACTCAAGTGAATTTTTAAATTTGAATGTTACCTACTATATACAGTAGCAAACATAATTTTAAAAGTACATGTTTTCAAATTTAACCCATAAAATATAAACATATTTGATAGCCCTCTTCAGAACTGATGTAGGATACATACCCAGTACATCACTAAATACTATGATGCATTTAAACCTGTTCAAAGCATTCCACTGAAACAAGTTTTAATGTGTGCTTCAAAGACCTCATAAAATCGTGTAACAAATCTCTTCCCTATAAAAGCATTCTAAAACACTAAAAGGCAATCTTTAAAATTCTTTTGTCCATTTTACAAAATACTTACTTGATAAAAAAATTTATGAGACAAGTTATTCTCTATTATCAAAGCAATTAGTGACAAAACCACAAAATTTAAAGACCAAGTCCAATATGCTTTGTAGTTTAACATTTCAAACTATTTCTCCTAATAAAATTATGCAGTTTTCTCCAAAGGTAGACAATTAGTACCTTCAAAACGAGTTCCCACACCAAAAACGTCTCTCTGAAAAACATGCAAATCAGGAAAACTCAAAAACTTAAGACACTAAAAAACTGTTCTCACTTCAAAAACAAACAAAAAAAGGATTATATAGACATGAATTTTCATACTAATGTAAAACACTAAAATTGGAGAATGTTAGTTACACCATTCACCTTTGCAACTGAAAAGAAAGTATGATACTTACTGGATTAACCAGCCAAGTTTTACCCTTAACTCTAAGTTTTGTTGGGTTTGTATTACAATCTTTCCATTACTCGGATGTAGGTCTGTTCCATCTGCCAACGTGCAGAGGATTTACATGAGGAACTTCCATTAGCATTAATGAGAGCTACTGAAGTTTATCACCCGGCATCATTCCGACATACCCACACTTTCAACACTCGCAGAGTAATGACCGAAATGTTCTTAAAGCTCTATGAATACAAAAACCAAAATGTCACAGACTAAGACTTATCCAACAACTGTGTAAACCCAATTTCTTAAAAATCTAAATTTTTCAATATTCAAAATTCATTCTCCTACAATGCTGTCTCAAATTAAATACGTGAAAAAGGACTAGTCATTGCTACAAGTATGTTAAATAATTTCAGAAGCCCCTAGATAAACAGGCAGTATTCTATTCATTCTACTCACTAAACTCTCTGCTTACTTGAAAAAACAGTACTTAACAATATTACCTTTTTTAGAGTAAGATTTTAGGCAACACTAAATAAAAGGCATTTAATTCCATTTTCTTCAAGGCCAAAAACCTTATTACCACTTAACTTCATATCAAGAAATACGAAGCTTTTTTCCTTTAAGTTCTGATATTTAGATCCTATCCTACCTAACTTTAGGAACATGGTCTTCATTACATGTTTTCAAATTCTGACTACATCATTTCAAGACTCAAATCATTTATTCAACTATCTCCCACCTGAGAAGTTTACATTTATATGTAGAGGGTATTTTTAAAAATCTATACCTTTCCATATAAACACTGTTTGCTGCTCTTGGCTTCTTTTTCTTTAATATATATATTCTAGTGCCTCAAATAAAAATAGCTATGCATTACTAGTAACCCACTGATTTACAATGCTACCTCCAAAAAAGCCCAAACTTTTTCTATCACTACAGCTTCAACAAATGATATTAACATCATAGTTATTTTATGTATCTCAAAATATATTTCAACTTCCACATTTGAATTTTAGGCTTATTAACACATAAAAATAAAAATAAATGGGGATTCTGTATTTGGGAAAACAAAATAATATACAATTCAAATCAATATTCCTTCTAGTTCTTGCAAGCAAAAATGAAGTCTTCTAGCATATTTTCAAAATGACATGCCTATAAAGCTCTAAGAATTTTCAACCGATATTGCAAATTCTTAAAAAATCGAGAATCCACCTAATATAAATTTGTAACTAATAAAGAATGTTAAGTAGGAAATTGTCAGCAACCTAATCCCAAATGCAAAATGCTAGAAAATTCCTGCTCCTCTGTAAGAAGTGACATTTAACTGGGGAAAAAAAATAAATAAATGAGGTGACAAAATACAGGTAAGTTGCTTTTGGTATAAATCAAAGCCACCAAGAGGATTCAACAGTGACCTTGTAAAAGTACACTTGGTGCCTTGGTTAACCTTACTTAAAGTGCTGCATAGTCAAGATGGAACTAAAAACACAAGTCTGCCCACTTCTTGTACTAAAGACTTAGAAATCCTTTTCACAGTAGAACGCTGTTTACTGGACTGTACCCACAAGCTTCCTGAAAGTATTTTGACTAAGGCTCTTAAGAAGCTCTATCAGCAGAATCTCTGACTAACAGATACACTATTTCAAGCAGTAAAATCTGCACAGTGGTTGCATCCAGACTACACAGCATACCAGATTGTGAAATACACGAAAATGGATGCGTATTTGCAAAGTAACGACCTTGAAAACTTGCATGAAGAGAATGTCAATAGATGGACAGGAGGAATTACACCTCTAACAAGCTGAATGGACTGAAGACTTACTAGAATACTAATAAGTATTAGATTCCCCTCGTGTGCTGCTATACCATGAATTCAATAATGCTGCCTAGAATGTTTTAGCAAATGATACAAACATTAATTGTTTGACACAATGAGTTAAAATTAAGGTTACGGTATATAAAAGGTATATAATAAACCTTTTAGTTTATTAACCTCATTTTTTTAAGGTACCTATTGATATAAAATCAAATTACACTAAAACAATTTTTTCCTCCTGAAATTTCTACCATAATTTTGAGTCCATTAAGTAGAATAAGACCAACTGCCTTCTTAAAAAAGGAAATTTTCTTCTGGAACTCTGCCCATAAAAATAAAAACTTAATCAGGAAAATTAAAATGTATATTCATTAAGAGTCTACATTTCCCAGTGTCATTTTTTCATGTAAGTACTTTCTAACTCTAAAATATTATAAATTTGGATTTCAAAAATAAATAGTTTTTACAAAGTCATCAAAATTTAAAAATTGGTAGTATTGTGCAAAAGACAAGAAATTATCATATATATCAGATATATAAAATGTCCAAAACCAGTCTTAAAATGTTTCTAATGTTTGACTAGGTGCTTACTCCTTTATTTAAGTCTTTGAGCTGAAAAATGAGAAAAGTTAAACAATATTAATGACACAGAAAGTTAGTGCTTTTGCTAATTAGTCTCAATACAAAATAGTCGATAATTAAACACATACTGAGGTTCTCTGTGTACAACTGGCATCTCTAAAAACACTGCTGCAAAAATAAGTTTTCAGTATGTATATTATGATTTGTACTTCTCCTAGTGACTGCTGTAAATATTCTGAAAGCAGCATTAAACTACCCATAAGAGTAAGAATAATAAAAATGAGATTTTCACTTTTGAATACATTAAAAGAAATACAAATAAAACAAAATACACGTATCTGTCTCATTAAACCTCTTTCTGAACAGTAACTTAGTAATGAAAAATTGAAATTCTTTTCTCAAGCTATATCTTCTATTTTATTTTTCCCTGGAAGCCAAATACCAATCACAACAAAATATAAGAGTATATTACTAATGAGATATGCAGAGTAACTTCAAATACCAAGAGTTTTCATTAGCTGCTCCAAAACTTTCAGAGTTGCCTGATAGATAGGATATTTGAGAGATCAACATCTTTCAATAATATCAGAATTTTTTAAAAACCCCTTCCCATTATATCACTAACATTCCAATATATGAATCTTATACTACACTTGCAACTGTTTTTATTCAAATATACTTCCTCAGAGAGGAGAGAGATGGGCTGGTTTATTAAGTCAATCAAGATAAACTGCTTTTAATACTTTTAATAAAATACTTTAAACATATAATTTAAGCATCACATGTAAATGGACAGAGCATTTTAAAGCCCCAATTGTTCAGAAACTAACTTAAAACAGAAACCACTCTTTTTTTGTTATTATTTCCCTGTATTTCCCACAAAATGTGCTGCAACTGGCATCTAAATAGTTCTTTGCATGGTGAACTGAAACATCTTGAATGCTCAAACTGTATTTTTATGAGTGCCTGGGGACCCTAAATTTTAGTGGTCTATTAAATGCCAGCAATTTCATGCTGCCTTGCATAAAACAGCATTCACATATTAGAGCACAGAAGTTCCATAGCTACATTATACTTCTGTTCCAACTTTCTCTCAAACAAAAAACTGAAGCAGAGGCTAATCAAAATAATATTTAAAAAAATAATCCTTTCCAGTCTTTTCACATTTAGTTTATACAATATCTGATGATAACTGTATGGCATTTGAGTTTTTTTTTAACTTTAGAATTTTATAAGCAACTATTGTTTTTCCTCAAAAATGTATAGTGGTCAAAAACAGTTGGAGAGTGGGGAGTATATAAACTTTTTCCTCACTCCCAGGGACAGTATGTCTTCATGGCAGATGCTGAAGAAAGTTAACCTCCCTAAGATAGATTTACTAACTACACATATTTTCACACAGAAACTGCTGCAAAATTTATTTTACACATTACTGTTTATGTCTCTTATTGTCAGATATGTACAATTGTCTGTTAAGACATTTTAGTCTCTTACCTGGCAATGTTATCCTTCTCAAAAAGAAATCCAGTCCTATAGTTTGTTTGTACTGTTTCTCAAAAGTTTCTTGAGCAAAACACGTAGCTAAGGAGGTCTAAAAAATTGATGCACAGAATATCAAAGTTAATGTCTTTGTTTTAGATATATAAACATAAAATCACTACCAAATCTTATTAAGTAATCTTAATATTTATACTTGTATTAATTCAACAAGCAACTTTAAGCAGTTCTAATCAGTTACAACGGGATGAGGGACTTAGCAATCCACCAGGTAAATTTCACTTGCCAACCAGCTATCAGTGGCAGCAACAGACTAATCAGCTAAATCTCTTTAAATCCCCTGATTGTCAAGCTCCTTCTCCTTACTAGCAATTAGAATTTGAGATTTATCAACAGAGAAAACTAAAACAACGTGATTAAAGATCTGAATCTCATATGTCCACATATACCAGTTCAATATAAATTTCAGAGAAGTTGCACTTCTGATGTTAAACATTTCTGAGTAGTTTGTGTCCTCAGCCAGTAAGTACTAATTAAGGAGAAGAAAGCCTGTTTATAGAATTTCATTTCTTTATTGTCCCCTCAAGAAACGTGTCTAATTTTTCTCTGTATTAAAGATGTTACATAAAAATGATCCTATAGAATGACTAATTTATCTTTTAAATTAAGAAATTGATATTTTAAGATTAATATTAAGCAGGCAAAAATAAATATATTCCATTCAAAAGAACTATAAAGCTTAAAGTCACAAGAATATTATAACCAGGACAGATACATAGCTACATTTTTTTTAATAACAACTAAAGTTGTATTCAAAACTCTGGAGTTTTTTTTAGAGTACCACTTCTTACCAAAGCAAAAGAATAATTAATTATTCTAGTAACAACTGAAGTAACTCAGTAACTCAAAAGCGTCTTAAACATTTTAAATGCACTATTTATTTATTTGTAAACTTCTCCAAAAAGAAGAGAAAGAGAGCTTCGTGAAGCTTGTATGCTCTTCAAGATAGACTCCCAAAGTTAAGGAAAAATAGCTCCTTTTTTATTTTAAAAGTTAAAATTAGATGTCAACTCCTAAGATAATGAAAACTAAGATAAAATTTCCATGATAGCTTATTATAGTTAATTATGACATAATTACAATAGTGTAAAACAAAAACTTGGCCAAATTTCAATTCCTTTAAACAAAAAAACCCTAAAATTGCTTTGACAAAAGAACAATATAAATGGCAATTTATACACGTTAACTCTAATTCTTGTAATGTTTAAATTCTCAGCATTTTTAAGAAATTTATAAAATATTTGGTTAAATATTTACTGAGCACCATAAAAAAGATGTTTTGCTAGACTCTGAGAAATAAACTCACTATACCAAAATGAAAATTTATCTAGCTTCCTTGATAATATAAAAAACTGAGAGAACAGAAAAAAAAGATAAGCATTCTTTTTTAAAGCCTTTTGTTTTTCATTTAGCCTTGTTTATGCCATTAAGCTTACTTAACTAGGAGCACAAAGTCATGTGTGAAGAGGCTCAGCGTTCTAGAGAAAAATAATTAACACTACTTACACTACTACAGATATTTCAAAATGTTTAATATATGGGTGGTTAAAACACTTTCATAAGTCAAAGAAAAACTCAAGGCACATGTAACTTCAGTATAATGTTATTTAAGGTGATTTTTCACTTTCACTTAAGTTTCTCAAAGATCAGTATTTTTATATTAATGAATATTCAGAAAAATTTTAAGTTTCTTTTTCTGAAAATAGGATTTCTAGCTTTTGAAAGACCTACCCTCACACTTTTGAGGCAAATATAAAGCTAGAATTTTCAATTGGAACAGAATACAATCTGTCAAAAGTATAGGTCCTTGGAAAAAAGAATTTATGAAAATGGATTCTTATATCTCCAGACATCTTACTTAACAAATTAAACAGAGAATCAACTGAATCAGTGAGAAGCATTTCTTCTTCAATTATCTAGACCCTGTCTTTCAGAGTCAATAATTTCTCACAAGTCATTGCATAATTACCCTTCTTAAACAATTAGGAAGTGAACAACCACCTACCATATCTATAACATTTTTATCTGATTTTTTTAACTTGGTGAACAACTGTTAACCATACTACATCTACAAATACTGAAGACACCATAAAAAAAATTTTGTCTCAAAAAAATCTTAAGAAATATATAATAAAATCCAAAGTATGAATCAAAACAAGAAAGAAATAGAAACACATGTTAATAGGAGGAGGAGCTAAATTTCTCTTACAGAAACTGTTAGCGGTCATCTCAATACTCTACTGCTTCTGTCGGGGTGTATAAAATGCCCTGAGTTACAACTAGCAAGAAAAATGATGCGAGAAAAAAATGGCCAGGAGTTAAATCAGCACACAAATAAGAAAGAAAGGGACAGTGAAAGAAACATATGGGAATTTTAGTAGCTGCCAAATAATTTGCCAATAATTTGAGAGCTGAATGGGGTATGGAGAAAAAAAAAAAAGCTTGATATATGAATAATGGAAAAAGGTTAGCTTTCTGATGCTGGTAACCAGAAATTTCTTGCAGAAAAAGCCTTTACAGTTTAAAAACACATAAAGATGACAAAGACTAAATCAGAACTATCAGGTACTATAAAGAGTATCATTGTTATCCTTCAAAGCAGAATAATAGTCCTAATTCACCAAAACAGAAGGGGAAAAAATGTGTTGTCCTACACTAGACACAGTTTTAGACAGAAATGAAAAACCTTAATTATTCACACTAAATTAACAACAAGAGGAAAATGTATAACAGGCTAGATGAAAAACTTAAATAGAAAACTATGAACAAATTTCAACTGAGAAATATATACATAATAATGGATGAATAATAGGAGAAAAATTAACAAAAATTTAAAGAATTATAATAGAATGTAGGATAATGAACAATTTTTGTGTCTTTTTACAAGTGTATTAGTGTTATAGTCACTGTAATTTTAAACAGAAAATAAATTACTTATGAGTTGACCATAAAAAGATTTAGGAAATAGAAATTAGAAGGCATTCAAAAGAAAATATGAATGATAAGAAAACTATAAAAATAAAGCTTACTTTTTTATCGAATAAGGGTGTTAGAAACAATGCTAATTTATTTAAACAGCTATTCAAAGAGTTGTTACAAGTGTACAAAAACTCATAATAATTAATGCTTTATGAAGAGAAGTGGTCCCAAGTAATTTTCTTCCTCAAAATGTTCCAAAATCATCAGAGCTTATTAAGTTGTTTTCCCTAACAACAAAAATCAATAACAAAATATCAGTGTGGCAAGAAAGAAATTAACAGAATTCTCCAAATTTTGCATATGAATAACACCTTTCCGGGCCCTAGGAACTCAAATCTCAGAATGAAAGACAGGAGCAGCTGTGCAATGCTGCCAGCGAAGATGTGGCGAGGAGTCGTCTCCACAGAAACAAGGTCCAAACTACACCAGTAACACAGAAACGCGCAGCCGAAAACGGGGAACTGGTTAACAATAACCACCTGCGTTTCTGAAGACTGGTTGGGGAAAGGGATGAAAGAAGAAAGGAGACAACTTAAGCAACGTTCTCGGAAACAACGTTGGCGCCACTGACAGAAGCGACAGGTGTGAAGGTTCCCCGGGGCAGAGGCTCTTCACCTTATTTGGGGCGTGGATCATAGAAGCCTCTAAGATCTTACCGACCCTCCCCAAAGAGCAAGGACCGGGCCGGCAACGCTTACTCCATTACAGGAGCTCCACGACCCTGAGTTAAAGACCCCCGCCTACGAAGTAAGGGGACTGGCTGCCAGATATTCTCACGCACTCACTCTCATTCATTCAACCGTCACCGAAGGATAGACTTTAAGGCAAGGATCCCCTCTGCCAGGCTAGCAGCTCTGCCCTCAGCATCCAACTCAGAAGAGTTCAATTGATACTTGTTGAATGAATGCTTGTGTTGACAGGTGCTGCGCTGGGAGCAGAGATGAACAGGTATGATGCTCTAAAACAGCACCTAACGTTTGTTGAATGCACACCATGTTCTGAAAGCTTCATGTGGATTTTCACATTTTATGTGGATTTGCACACTTTACCCTTGGAGACGACCCCTATCGAAATACCCATCTTACAGACGAACCATAGACAGGATAAGCAATTTGCCCGCTAATGACCTGACCAGTAAAGTGACGGAGCCCCGATTCTCTCACCAAGGGAATCTCATTCCAGAGTCAAGCTCTTGGGAGCTCCTCGTGCAGTGGAGGCATCAGAAAAACAGTAAAGAGGGGGAAAGGGAACAAAATGTGACCTGGACTAAAGTTAAAAGAAAAAAAAAAAAGATAAGATGTCTTCCTTGAGAGTCCCCAGAGGCGAGAAGCTGGAAAGCTTCCCAGGGAGATGCTGGCCCGTGTCTTGGAGAAGTAGGAGTTCGCGATAGAGACAGGGAGTTGGGAAATGCCTTTTTCTTCTTCTTCTTTTTTTAATGTAAGGGGAGCTGGACAGTTCTCGTCGGACTTCACCAAGCACCTAGTATGTGTCCAGTCCCAGGCCACGACCTGGAGGGCCCGGGCCCACAGGCCCCGGGGGTTCAGAGAAATAAGGCGACGCCGCGGGGAGGGGAGGAGGCTGGGGGCGCCAGGGCCGCGCCAGGGTTCCTGCAGGCCTGGCACGGCGGGCCCGCTCGAGGACTGACCTTCCCGGAGGTGCCGTCCCCCAGCACGACGATTTTCAGTTGCCGGTCCTGGCTCTCCTCCTCAGAGTCCGACATGGTGTCCCAGGAACCAGGCCCCCCTCCCCTCCCTCCCCCACCGAGGTAGAAGGAGGAAGGGAAGGAGGGAGTCTCCGGGGGCGGGGGAGAGGAGGAAGGGCAGCGGTGGGGACAGAACCCCCCGCCCCGGTGTCTCAGCGGCCGCTGCAGGTAACCGGGAAGAATCACTCGCCAGGCGCCATCTTGCCCGCCTCCCCTCCCCCTGCGCGAGGCCACGCCCCCTGCGCGCTACGTCGGGCGCGCTCCCCAGCCTCTGCTCCAACCAGCGCCGAACGCGAGCTTCCCTGGCCGGCCGGCCCATCAGCCGGCCTGAGATGAGGAGGCGTTCAAACACAGCAGGCGAGACGCGGCGCTACCCTCGCAGGGACAGTTGGAGGGAGAAAACAGAGGATGTGTACTATTCAAGCTAGATAGAAAATGGGGGCAGGGTAGCACGCAGGCGTTCTATTAAATTCTATTGTTTCCAGCTCCCTGTGGAGGTCCCCCCTCCCCTGAAGCGAATGGTTTAGCCTGTCTGGTAAAGGGTGGGTGACGCCTGGGCTGCTCGCCGAGGTTGCCATGGAAGCCAGGACCCGGCGGAGCGGCGGCGGGGCGGGGCCTGGCTCAGGGCGCCGCGGACGCTGGTTTCCCGGCGGAGCGCGCAGGGGAGGGCCGTCTGGGGTGGTATCTGCCCCGGGGGTCGCGCGCCGGGAAGAGAGGCGGCGGCGCGACGGCGGAGGGAGCGGCTACCGAGGGCGTCGCTGCCGGGCGGCGAGTCTACGGTGGCGGCCGAGCGTAGAACGTAGCTGTGGCGCTGCCTCTTGTTTTCTCCTCTTAAACACTGGGTTTTCTCATCCAAACAACGGAATCCGATGCTTCGCTCCCGAAGCACGTACGCTAGAAGCAGCAGTTCTCAAAGTGCGGTCTGGGGGGATCTTGGGAGCCCTGACAAAGTCAAAACTATTTTCCCAATAATACAATTTTTTTTTTTTGCCTTTTTCACCTTCATTCTCTCACAAATATACATAGACGTTTCCCGGAGGATGCTTGATGTGTATGACGTCATCTAACGGAGCGTATGCTTGTTATTCTTTCAAACACTTTTCAGTACTCATCTTAGTGTAGTAATGATAGCTATAAGTTACCTAAACAAATGCTCTTTGGGGTTTACAATAATTCTTAAGAGTGAAGAGGGGCCGTGAGCCCAAAAAGTTTTAGAACTGCTGTCCTGAATGGATGATTTCAGTTCAAGAAGGTAGGTAAAAGACATAACTGGAAATTTCAATATGGTAAGATAAATTCCACAACAATAATGCCAGCCTACTATGTCTCCTTGTTAGTTGCTTTACGTGGATTATCACGTTGGCTCCTCATGGGAACCCTGTAAAACAAGAATTATCTCAGTTTACAGATGAGGAAACTTAGGTCACAAAAAGCTTAGCTCAGAAGCAGTAGTCCTGGAAAGTATATGGGAATTCAAATGGGAAAGCAGTACGGTGTCAAGAATTGCTTAGCCCTTGCAGCAGCACTGGCTTTCTCATCACAGACCTGCACTTACTAGATGTGTGATCTTGAGCCACAATTTCCTAATCTATAAAACAGAGACGCTACCTCCTTCATAGGGTTGAGAATTAAATGACATCATCACTGCAAAGTGACAGAGTACAGTGATAAGTGCTCAGTGTTAACCAGTGCAATTACCACCCTCGTCATTATCATCATTAGATACGGTCCATATTGGACAATCACTTCTTTCTACCCATGTTACTCTAAGCAGAGTTCCTATGTGGAACCCCAGTCCCTTCATCTGTAGATAGGGCTGGCCACAGTAGTTGCCACCCAGGTGCCCAGATCTTTCTCTCTCCCCCCAATCACCACCATCAACTTTCTACATCACTGGGTGTGTTAATGAGAATTAGAAGAAAAAGGTGAGTGAGAAAGCTTTGCCAAGTTCTTTGTAAATGTTCCTTTGAGGAATCTGTTTCTAATGAGGACAGATTTAACCCCTTCTTGTCCCTGAGAGGAGTTAATGTGGCAGTGGTTGGCTTTTCTACTCTTCCTGAATGGAGATGGTTATGTGACCCAGTCTAACCAGTGAGACAGAGAGAATGTCCTTTGGGAAACATCTGGTTTTCTTCTCTGACAGAAGAAGGAGAAGGGGAGGCAGGAGGGGGAGAAGAAGGAGAAAGAACAAAAAGAGAGACACAGAAGGAAAGATGTCCCCTCCCTTCCTCTGTTGTCATTATTTGGGAGAGGACATAAAGCTTGGAACTGCTACAGCCTTCTACACCCTACCTTCCAGGCTTCTTGTTATGAGGAGTAATACTTAGGTAGCTTAGTGATGTATTCCTTTACTTGCTGACAAAAACACCCCAACCGGCACAAATGCTTTGGCTAAACACCAGATTTAGTTAAGGCCATAGGATCAATTTTCATGTGTGGTTTCGTAGGAAGGGAAATCTGGAAGAAAACTTTGCATTTTCTAATCACCAGTTTCCTAGACACCAGTTTGATGGAGAGACATCATTTATTTGGTTGTGTTCATCCCTGGGGCAGTATTGCTACATGAAACAAAAAGCCAATTACATTTGTTCAGTGACCATGTTTTACACACTTGTGGCAAGATTCCAGGTTAAAAATTAGATTTGAAGACTTGAAGTCATGTACATAAATTAAAAAGAAAAAAAAATTCGTCTTGTGTGGAAGACCATGCTAGATGGCACCACAAGCTTCAGTGTGGTGCTTTATTATCCTGAAGAGAAATAGAGCTGATCCACAGAAAAGAAAAATGTCTCTGTGGAGCCTCTGTAAAATGCGCACAACAGGGTCATAAACTAGGGAATCATTTTTAGTGGTCTTAAAATTAATAAATTAACAAAATGCTTAGAGGTAAATTCTAGAAATTGCAAGAAATTGGAGATCTTTAGATAGGAAGAAATTGGAATAGTTACACAAGATAAACCTGTCTGCTATCTGTAAAACCACCTTCTTACCTCATTTTAAAATATCATTTTTAGTGTCCTTAACAGGTGATAAACCAAATTTTGTTGGAATGCATCCTGATTTCAAGGAGTTTATTCCTTCATGAAGTACCTTAGACTATGGACAAACTGGCCTGGTCATTAGAGTATTCTTTCTGATGAGCTGATGTCTCTCGTTAAAAATTCCAATGAATGGTATCGGGTGAGACTTCGGGAATAAAATAGGACTTCCCCATTCTAAAGGAAAGTCTTCAAATTGATCCCCTGTGTTTAGTGAATATTTGACAAGTATTAAGTGAACGCCTACTGTGGGCCTTGTTCACAGCTCTTCTAAGCAGTGAGGACACTCATTCAAGGGCTCTGCTCCCACGGAACTTGCAGTTTTGTGGAGAGGTTAGTAGACTAAAGATACCAGGTCCCAGTCCCTGTTTTCTGTTTAACTCAGACAGAAAAAGAGAAGGCAGTGTGACCACGGAAGTAGACACTGGAATGATACAGCCACAGTGCCAACGAAGGTAGGGAACCACCAGTAGCTGGAGGAGGACAAGAATGAATCCTCCCCTGGAACCCCAGAGAGGTCAGGCCTGGCAACACCTTGAATTCAGTCCAGCGAACACTGATTTAGGACCTCCAGCCTCCAAAACTGCGAGAGAATAAATTTATGTTGTTTTATGCACCACAGTTATGGTATTTTTTTTACAGTGACCACAGGAAGCTAATAAAAAAAGGAACATAAAATTTTAATAAATCAACAGGAAAATTTCAGATTCAGATAAAAAAGATACTAAAACAGCCAATGGATAGGATGAAGAGTAAAAATACCTGAGCATTTTTATTCACCAATGAATGTGAGAAAATAGTGAATCAGTGAGTAGACTGATTTCAAAAACCATGGATCTCTGCTACCTTAACAAATCCGATAATCATCCATCAGTTTTCTTTCATCTTTTGCCAATATTTCATAATTTTGAAGATACAGAGCTTAGGACTAAAGTTCCAGGCAAATATGGACTTGGAAAGAAAGATAAAATATGGTTGAATAATATCACAAATTATTAGGGAAACGAATATCAAAACCACAATGAGATATCACCTCACATCTGTTAGAATGGCTGATAGCAAAAAGACCAAAGATATCAAGTGTTGGTAAGGTTGTGAAGAAAATAAAACCCTCATACATTATTGGCGGAATGTAAATTGGTGCAGCCACTATGAAAAACAGTATGGTGATTCCTAAAAAAAAAAAATTAAGAATAGAATTACTATATGATCCAGCTATCCCACTTCTGAGTATTTATCCAAAGGAAACAAAAACATTAATTAGAAAAGATATATGCACCCCTATGTTCATCCCAGCATTATTTATGAAAGTCAAGATAATGGAAACAAACTAAGTTTCCATCAGTGGATGAACTGATAAAGATGTGAGATATATATATTGCACATGGAGTATTACTTGGTCATGAAAAAGATGAAATCTCTCCATTTGTGCCAACACAGACGGACCTTGAGGGTATTCTGCTAAGTGAGGTAAGTCAGGTGGAGAAAGACAAATACCATATGATTTCACTCATATGTAGAATGTAAGAAACAAACAAAATAAAATAAATGAACAAACCAAGCAAAAACAAACATGTAGATACAGAGAACAGAGTAGTGGTTACCAGACAGGAAGGTGCAGGGGGGTAGGGGGTAGGGTGAAATAGGTAAAGGGAATCAACTGTATGGTGATATGGTGAGGGATGGAAATTAAAATTTTGGTGGTGAGCATGCTGTAATGTATACAGAAGTCATAATATAATGTTGTAGACATGAAACTTGTATTAATGTTATAAACCAACATCACCACAATAAAAAAAAACAGAAAATAAAAAAATGCTGAGTAAGGCAAAATAATAGCCATGTCCCCAGCTTGTACACTTGATATTGTTGTATTTCTGCTGAAAACCTTAGAAAAATATAGAAATGATCCCCAATATATTGGTTTATTAAACCTCCATGAGAACAAAAACAAATAAGCCTGTCTCCCTGAAATTTTCTTCTCCCTTGATTGTATGTATATGTACATGTATACATGTGTATGTGTGTACATGTGACCACCACCTAGATCAAGATATAAAAGAGTTCAGGATCCAAGCAAGCCCCCTTGTGCCATCTGTCAGTCATTACCTCTTTAAAGGTAGCTACTATTTTGACCTCGAGCACTATAAATTAGTTTAACCTGTTTTTGAGCTTTATCTAAATAGACTCTGTACAATATGTA